TAACGTCAGTGGACTGTTGCTCAGTTGGTTGGGGAGGTTGTTGTAGTGATGTTGGACTGTGGAGCTTCTCTTATATACAGGTGCAGGAGCAGATGTTTTGTCATTTACAAAAACAGAAGCATTGTTGGGAAATTGTCATTATTATCCTGTTTGACATTTCAAGGTGTGGTGACTGTTCAGAGCCTGTGACCACACCTGGACCATATCATATAAAATAGCTCCTATCAGAAATAAATACACTATTGTGTTCTGGATTTGCCAAATCTGAATGTTCTAAAGTCTTGACAGATGTTTAGTTTCTTTATTCGTACGTTTTTGGTGTTGGTAAGTGAGTAAACAGATGCAGGATGTGGAAACACTTATGTTTACAAATGGAGGGGCTCAGACAGGTAACAGACAACACCCAGTCAACATGCTTTTCTGTCTGCTCACTCTTGTTCTCGGATAGTGGTTTATATGGCAGCTTAAGTTACTCATATATGCACGTAAATCACATAATGATCAGATGAAATGTTCAATTTCCATTTCATTGTTATTAATCCCTGCCTCTGTCTAACTGTTGCTAAGAAAAGAAATCGAAGTAAATTAGGGAATGATTAAAAAACAACAGGTGAAGTGCGCAGCTGCAAATACTCGAGGATGACTAAGATGTCTCGTTTTAGAAATGTCCCAATATCTGATGTCTGATCTATATTAATGCCACGTACTTGCACAATGTAGGTGAGTGGACACATACATGCTATACTGGGAGTGACTCATGTTTAATGAAATGTCTGGGACTAATACATTTACATTGATGTTGTTTGACCTAAATCATATTTACAGGTTCATCAGACGCAATGAAGCTCTTCTGTGTCGCAGTTTTACTGGTGTTAGCAGCTGTGACTGCTCACGTGAGTACATAGATATATTCTTTATCATATTGTTTGTTATTAAACTACATTACACATGAATGGATTTCCAAAAACTTTGGTACAGGGGAGAACATAAATGTTAGTGTTGATCCAGGGGGCAGATCCAGGATTTCTTTTTTTGCCCCAGGGCATTTTTCAGCACTGTTTTCCCAGGGACTAATTCATGGATCTTGATGAAAAAAAAATCTGATGTATTTAGGGGTCTAGAATCTGTGAGTGTGTGAAATTTAGTGCAGCTTGATTGGATTTTAATCAACTGTTGGGCCTTCGTGCTTATGTGTGCCATTCTAGTTTGTAATAAAACAACTACATTTTGTTTAGCAGCAATCTGCTTAACAGTTGGTAAATTTAAATAACACCTGATGGTAGTGTTGATAGTGTTGATAGTGTGTGTGTGTGTGTGTTTCAGACAAAACAACCAGAAGAAGATGGAGGCATCATTAGAGGCTTTCGACCAAGGCACGTATGTGTTTCAAGTCTTACAGTCATTCGTTTTTAGAGAGATTCCTCAGAGATTCTTCAGAGATGCCAGTGTCTCTAGATGATGAAGACAATGAAGCACAATGTAAACATGACTTGTTCCATTGCCAGTTAATGAAGGCAACAGGCTCAACTGAACTAAAGTTTGCAGCATTAAAAACCACTTTACAAGTGACAGGAAAGTGAAATATGTTCAGGAGAGGACAGGTCTTGATACTGGGGGAAAAAAACTGATGCAAAACTGTGAAACATTAATTGAAAAACAACACACAATGGGTTAGGGGTATTTTAGGTACATGTTCCTTCTGTTAACGACTGTAAGTTGATTCATTTTAATGAGTGGGTGGTAACTTACTACTGGCAAATTAATATCTGACGTAATTGTCATACTTAACACACAGTTGTATGAGTCAACTAAATCACAGACATAACACCAACACGCTTATTTCCCATATGATGAACAAATTGCTTTAGATTTTGTACATATATATATATAAACACACTATATAGAGATCTTTAAGACCTGCTGCCACACATTCTTGTACCAGCAACTTATTAGTCATTTACTGTACTCATCACTTTCTCTGTGCTTTACCCAGAGGGAGGTTCGTTCAATTCTCAGTCCCCATGAAAACATTCGTTCTGAGCCAGACTATCTATATGAAGGTAACTGGTAAGTCAACAACAGTGATAAATATTTTCAATAGGACACATTGAAGAGGAGAAGAGTTTGTATGGGAGCATCTCTTTTGGAGCTCATGTCTGTAGATTTGCTTTCTGTTTGGCTTTTATTTCTTTAAATTATAGCAAGTAACACCATATATATATATATGAATCTATTCTCTAACATTAATTATCAAAATATGAATTTAACGCTTCCCATCCAAATTCTTCTGCATCACTTATCAAACCATCTGAAACTTCAAAGATTTCATTTTTCGTTTTCAAGATGAACGTCACTGAGCTTGTTGGAGATGATTCAGAAGTTCAATTTGATGACTAACAGTTATTGTCTCCCTCTTTAAAAAGGTTCCAAGAATGATTCTCCAACTTCGTCAAGTCTTGGACATCGTGGTTCACATTTTCCGTCTTACATTCATTTAAATCATTCATGGAATTCCTAATTTGTGCTGTAAAAGCCAAATATCTGTGTACCACAATAAAACTCTGAAACAATTATCTGTGACAAATGTCTTTATTTATATATGTTATGAAAGGGAAGCAAATTCCTGAAACAAAATAGTTTCAGTTTATTATACAAACACAAATAAATTGCATTTAGAAGACAGATAAACCCAACACATGGAAATCGGGTTTTTTTCCTGGATCACATGTTATTTCCCAGGTGACCTTGTCTAGGGCTCAAACAGGAAAGGGAAGTTGGAGTGACCCTGGAGAAATAACAACAGAAGCAACTGTTTGATAATTGATTATTCAAGTCAGATTCTGTGCAGTAAAGGACAGTATTGTGTTTGTGAGTGTAAAACATTGTAATTGTAAAAACAACATACCTCATCAATCCCAGGACCAGACGCATCGCCACGAGGATCAGGAGGAATTGTAGTCGTCTCTTTCTGTGTCCCCAGTGGCCATGTCTGATATAAATATCAAAGTTATGAAAACACATTCATTAGAATTTACTGGTGAAGACTTTTTTTTTGTTTTAGTTAGTATTCTGTCGTGCACTCACTCTTTCTGTTTGCACCTTTGGCAGGGTCGCTTGCTGAAATTGGAGGAAAGAAAATTAAATTACAAAATATCACATCAGTGATAAGTTTATGCATGTATTTATCAACGAGAATACATAAATAGAATACACTAATAAAATGATATCAGTCGCATTGGGACATGAAACATGCACGGTTGATGTACAAACAGCATCAGTTGACAGATGAGACTGGGGCCACATGATTTGTGCCACAGCTCAGACAGACAGACGACAGACACTGTGTGGTCGGTGTAGCAGACAGTTGTCATTGCACCACAGTTACCACATCCACAGTCATGACTCAACATCAGCAGCTGTGTTATTATCGTTAAGTCACGTCACTGTCATCATCGTCCACGTACAAGTTCCAAAACTTAATTCAAACTTTAACCTCTCCAGTATGTCCAATTTAGATGTCTGACCTGCAGAGGGAGCTGTGGCCTTTGTGTGGATTTCTCCAGGTTCTGCTGAGCGGTGTTGGGCTGCAGCACCACAGAGTTCCTCTGCTGGGGGTATCCGTAAGAAGGCACAAAGTACCGGTAGCCCTGTGGATGATCCATTCATCACATTGATTTAAATCTAAAGCTAAATGGCGAGATGGACATTTGCAAACAAAACAATATGTCTGATTCATACCGGCTGTCTGGGAAACTGAGGGAATCCATACGCAGGGTACTGAAACTGTGGAAACATCTAAAGGAGATTTAAAATATATATTTAAAAACTTTACACGACAACGAGGAGATGTGTAACTGTGAAAGGTGCCTTGTCGTACCTGCACAGGGTTTTGGGCCTGCTGAGGGACATTAGGAGCATTGGGGTCCTGTGGGGGCCCGAGCTGCTCTTGCTGCCCGTTGGGGACAAACATCGGTGTCAGCTGGTTGCCCTGATTGGGGAGCAGCAGCTGAGGCCCCTGGGGACCAAAAGGGCCCGTAACCTGCGGGTTAAAGTTCATCACCTGAGGGGTGAGCAGCACCTCTGGCTGCTGCTGCTGAAGCACATACTGGGGGAATAATGAAGACGCCTGGAGGAGAAGGGGTTGTTTTTCAGCTTACATATATTTTCCAAAGCAAACAGCACTTTGAATTATTTGCCTGAGGGAGACACTTATTTTAGAACTCATGGTAACAAATTGTCATATGATTTTAAAGCAGCAGCAGGTTTTTTTTTTTTTTCACCTGTGTTTGTCCAAGAGCTGCAAGAGTGAGTCCATTCAGTCTCAGGATCTGAGCACACAAAAATATTGAATCATATTTCTGAGTGTTTTACTCAACAGCCATAAATGCTTAAATCAACTAGTTCACCTCATTGCTGTTGCTTGCAAGGATTCCAATCTGCATCTGTGGAAAAAAAGGAAGAAATTAATATATCTGTTATTTCAGATGCTGCAATATGAGCGATATATAGTAGAGCAACACATGTTACTCACTGGCAGAGCAACGCTCATCCCCAACAGGCCGACCAACAGAAGGGCAGTCTGTAGCTTCATGATGTTCAACAGTGTCTGAAAACTGAATTAAAAAATCATGATGGAAACATTTTACCAAGACAGAAAACTTTCAGTGAAACAAGCTCCAGAAACTGGTCTCACCGTTTCTCGGGCTCTGCTTTGCCTTTCTGTGCTCCTGCCTCCTCACCGTGTCCATATCCCTTTTAAATTCTCCCCATGTGAGCTGTCATCGTCCACAGTCAACCTGTCCAGACGGCGTGTGGTCAGTGTGACAGACGTTCCTCACGGCATCAGGCTCAGACACTTGCAAAACCGGACAGCTAAGTGTGTTATTAGGTGTAAGTCATGTCTGTAAACTCCATGACACGGTCTGTGTCAAGTTATTAACAAGTCTCCGTAGATTCACAATTTACAAGTGCACTGAACCACACTCTTTATATCTAGTGTTGAGAAAAACAGCAGCTTTCCTTTAATAGACAGAACCTTTGTCTTTATGTGGCGATATTGATTTTTAAAAGAGTGGCGCCTCAGATGTTACACAGGAGATTTGTCAGAAGGGAGATGGAAGCTTAGAGATTAGACTGAGACATTTTTTTCAGACTGATGTTGACGTATCAACAGCAAATCATGGGTTTTAATGGTCGACTGTTGGGATTCATGTTGTTCATGAGACAAAAACTAAAATGGCATTCAGTGGAACTTCAAAATACTTGTCAACACTCCCCTCTCTAGATCTGGATGTTTCTATGGATCTGCACCAGATTGCACACACACATAAATCCCAATATAGTCCACTTTTAAGCAAGTTGGCCACTTTTATACCATATATAGGGAACTTTACAGTGGACTCATCATATCCCACAATGCATCGTGTAAAGTAGTGTGCGACACTAACCGAGCAATATATACCATCATGCATTGCGCTTGCAGCAGAGAGACAAGAAGACAGAGAGCAGCAGGAACAGCCCGACCTGTCGTACAAATATAAATACGAGCAGAGTATCACAGCATAAACTAAGGCACACAAGTTTATTTATACTGTTACGTAATGGTCAGTAAATGTTTGTTTTACCTTATAATATAATATAAGTATTAATACCAAGTTTAAAATATATTACCTGTGCCGTATAGTGTCTGAAATCATTTTATTTCTTTTGCAGACAATCTCACTATATAGTCTTCACCAAGTCACCACATAGTGAAGTAGAGTGAGTGATTTTGGACACAGTCCATGAATTATTCTCTGTTAAGTCGCAAAAATAACACAAATCCCTGTTGAAGAAAGTAAAAATACAATTCCATGAACCGCACCAGAATGTAATGGGTTCTTTCTTATCCTTTAAAATGTCATGGAAATCAGCTGAGAATGTGTTTTATGTAATCCTTCTAACAAATAAATGAATGCAGACTGTGAGGGATTTAGTTGAAAGGACCCAAAAGGAATGAAAACATGGCTGGTGAACATGAATTAAATGTGAAAAAGACAGTCTCAGGTGGCAGGCATTCAGTGCACATACACCAGATAAATCAATACGGCAGACCGAAACACAAAGCATGTGACAACAGACAAACTGAGACAAAGAGAAACACAAAGACTTATAAACACAAGGGAGAGGGACGACTGCACACAGGTGAAACACATGAGGAGCAGGTGCAGACGATCACATGGGCAGGAAACTGGACAGAGGAAGACAGGAAGTAAATGTAGAGATTCAAAAATAATATTCAGGAAACCCAACAGAGCACAAATCCAAACACAAGAGGAAAACGTCCATAATATAAGATGTCCATAGTCCAGCAGAAACATCAGTCACAATAGCTCACAGCAGTTCAGACGACAGAATCATGAAACAGATGAAAACATACGCTCGTTGGTGATGTGATGAATTTAGATTCCTCACAGAAAACATGTAGATATATATATGAATGTAAATGTATGTTATTGTCTGTTTTTAATGCATTTGAAAGCTTTTGGAGTTTTCTGTTCATTAGTTTCAGTTACACATTTTATGTACATTTGTTTTATGAACATTTGAAACTGAAATGTGTGCAATGGGCCTTTTTCACAGCAAACATTTTGACTTACAGATCTCCTGTTCACGAAGGTGTTCGACCACTAGCTTCTGTATCCCTGTTATGATTTTACCACTATTGCACTGTTTTATCTCTCCTCTTCTTCTTATCTGTATTTTTACTATTTTTATTTTACTTTGATTGTTAAAGCACTTTGTTACTTGTATTGAAATTTGCTGTACAAATAAAGTTATCATTATTATAATTATTATTATTTTGTGTCCTTGGTTTGTTTTATTTTTATTTCCTAACTTTCCAAAGCTGCCTATAACTAATAAAACAGTTCTGATGATTATCATTATTGGGAATAATTCAAAAAGTTAAAATACTGTGAGCCAGTCTGAACAATTCAAGGATACCAACAATGAGGCTTTTAATGGAGTTCATCAACATGTGCTTTTCCTGCACTAACAGATGAACATTTCTGTCCATGAAAATGGCCTTTGTCTAACAGATTGTCCAGACTTTTTTTTTTAAGTCCACAAGACTGTTTCATAAAAAAGTATTTCTGACCAAACTTAGAAACCTTGAAAACCTTTTCTATGTTTAACCCTAAAAGTCTCAAGCTTTCATACAGCACAATTATGTATAACTGTACATTTGTGATATATTTATTATCTTTTTTTACTTATTTTTACTTCATGCATATAGCGCACCCACCCATACTTAATAATTTTATACTATGTATATGTATTACATGTAATTGGAGTTGTGATTTATTGTACAGTTTGTTTTATCATCATTAGCCTTTAGGTGGCAGTAGAGATCAACTGTAAATTGCAGGTTATAGTTGACTAATGAACTTTTCTCGTTGTATAATGAGCTGGTGTGAAATCAGAAGTATTGAACAAACAAGTTTTGATTTTAGGAAGATGAAATCTTTATTGTGCAGTCAGAGATTCATATGAGTGTTAGTTTATGAATCAATCACAAGTCAAGCTTTTTTGAACACTATATTCCAGTGCCATCTTAAATATCCTCATGTTGATCATGGTCATCACACAGAGCTGCCGTTGCTTTGTCAGTCGGAGCTGGAATCTGAGAAAATAAAAAGCACAGGGTTGGTGAATGAGAAAACACTGAAATGAACCTTGTTCTTCAGTGAAATATACAATCTTATACCTGAGTATCCATAGTGGTCTTCATGTTGTCGTCCTGTTTCATAATCTGACGCTGGAAATTCAGAGAACAGCAATTAGCCTGAGCTGTTTTCTTTCAGCCCAGAGCAGATGTAAATGCAGATTATTTATTTCTTACCCTGAATCTTCTGAGGGGATCAGGCTGAAGAGGAGGCTGCTGTGGCATGGCTCCTCCAGGACTCCCCTACAGAAAGACAGCAAGATGCAGTGATTTGTTAAATTTCTACCTATAATAATTTAACCTGTGATAAAAGCCACAGTAGAGTGCTAACCATGAGAGGCTGCTGAGCAGGATTCATCTGTGGCATTTGAGGGACTCCCATGAAAGGAAACTGAAAGAAGGATTAAAAAAGACACATAAAACATTTTTGTCTGGTTTTCTGAAAGCAATGAAACTTGATGTGTGTTATTGACGCCACTGACCGCATTGACTGCAGGGACGGGGTACATGTTGGGAACAGGAGCCGGTAAAGCAAAGGCAGGAACTCGTGGAACAAACTTGGGAGACAGGTAAAGTAGAATTGTGAATCTCATTCATATCAGACAAAATCTCACTTAACAGCAATCTGAATTCAAACTGTTCAGTTTACAGGATGGCAAATTAAGAAATGCACACACAAAGAGAACATGCAAACTCCACAAGCTGGGATTTAAACCAGTCATCAGATGTTTCTAGAGGTTTTTTTCCAGTTAACGAGGGTTTTTTCTCTCCATGGTCACCAGAGTGCTGCTCATTATGGGAACTGTTGGGTTTCTCCTTAATGTTAACGTATTGAGATATTGGATGTTATGATTTGGCGCTATACAAATTAAGTTAAGTTGAAAACCTGATTGACTGACCTGTGCAAACTGAGGCTGCCCGACGAAGCCCAACCCTCCACCTGCCACCATGGCTGGGTTCAGGCCTCCAGCCATCATCATAGGGTTTAATCCATTTCCCATTCCACCGTACATACCAGGTATCATCCCTGCATTCATGGCTGCAATCAGCCTCTGTGTCTGCAGGGACAAAGAGCGGGGCTGTTATTAATGACTGATCACTATTAACTATTAATTATTGGAATATTGTGCTAATCACTTAGCAATTAATTAATTAATTACCTTTCCTGCACTGACCTGTAGAAGCAAGGAGACAAAACGTTAGATCATTAGATA